GGGAGGGAACACTCTTTTTACAGGAGTTAAAGAAAAGTTATTCTCTATCATATTGGCTGAGACACTTGTGGGATGTGGGTGGTTAGGCAAATATCTCATTATTTTAATGAGGAATAGATATTACAATGTGGTTTGTCACTTTTTGGCAATAGGAGGCTGTACAGGGCACTGGGGTCAGTCAGGATCAGACTTCTAAAGATATGAGCCCACTCATTTAACAGTGGAATTCTTTACAATGATGTCAGGACAGCATAAGACAAATTGCAGCCAGAGATTGTTAAGATTAACTCTTTCTGCTCCTACTCAGAGGCAACAGGGGCCTTGCTCTAAATCCAGCCTGCTTTAATGCAAAAGCAGAATTGTCCCTGGGTGACCCTCGTGCAGCCATGCATATCAGAATGTGCCTCAGAAATAAACAATGGAATTCTGCTTAAACAAAACATAGTTCAAGCTTATCCGGTACCACTACTATGGTTGACACAATAAAACTATGAGTAATAGTAATTCTATTTTTGTGGTAATGATCCTTCTTTAATTGGTTTTGTCTTGCTTTAGTATGATTACTAATGACCCTGATGACTCTTATAGTGGGATGAAAGAAAGAAAAAGGAAAGAACAGAGATGGGTGGGAAAAAAGAGAAGGGAGAATGACTACAAGAACATTGTTCATGGGCCACATCGACTCTTAATGCAGCCACTTGATGTAACTTATATGATGAATTAAAGATGTCTAAAACACTGTACATGAAGTAAAAATGTTAACAGGATTGGGATTAAAAGCTAAATGAGAGGAGTATCAGAAGGATTCACACAAAAATCCAAACAGTGGCGGTGGCTGCTGTGGGGGATGGGGCTGAGGAGGGATGGCTGTGTTCTCATCTTTGACTCTATTGATTTTGGTATCATCTGGGCTTTTTTAAACCAGAAAGAATGTGTTTACTTAAATGTTTTTAGGATAGGCATTTTCAATAGTATTTTTCAATAGTTAATGGTATTTCCATAGTTAGTGGCATTAATGTTTTCTGTTTAAACCTTGTATGTGTGTTCCATGTATACATGAAATTCAAATGATAAGATCCAGTACTTTCAAGAACTGGATCTAAGCCTGAGTTGGCAACCTCCGTGGTCAGGGAGAGGCAGAACACTGAGAATGAATGTCCTAGTCCCGACTATAAGTGTCTCAGTTGGGTCCATTCACAAATACTGGTCAACTAGCACCTTTCACGCTAAGCCTTCATTCCTACCATGCCCAAGTAATCGTGCCAGGGCCTGTGTCGTTGTCCCATGCGGGGTTCTCTGTAGTGAGTTCAAGCAATATCCTTTGGAAAGGGGATGCAGAGAAGCAGCAAGAGAGGAGAGGAGAAGATTTGAAGTCTCACTGAGGGGAGGCAGTGCATCACTTCATGTGGGCCTACCAACTGACTAAGCATTGAGTGGACTGCTTTTACTAAGAGCAACAAGTAAGCAAATGAATAATAACTCAAGGATTGGAAAAAATATATAAGATTGTTTAGATAATTACCCAAACATGAGTGGCAGCATCCCACATTCAGAGGTCCAGGAATGAATTGAAAGGGAAAAAAGTGGAAGCCAGCTAGAACATCAGCATTGATCTTTGCTTCTAGACACGGTGCAACCAGCTGTCTCGCATTTCTGCCTGCATGCCTTTTCCACTACCAAATCCTGCATGGCCATGGGCAAGGGACATTCCTGACAAAGTTTCCCACCCCTGGAGTAGAGCCATGGGCATTGGGCCTCCATGAGTCTTGACAGTTGCTGGTGTTGTGCCAGAAAGCATTCGTGAACCCCAAAAAACCACCAAGGAGCCGATTGCATTAGAGTCTCTTTATTACAATCTCCAGCTTGGGCTATCTCTGATCCAGGAAAATGGGAGGGGCAGCCCTAAACTTAGTTTCAGGCAAGCATTTATAGAGACAATAGGGGGTTTCTAGCCTGGTACACATTTGATTGGGAAGTCATTATGGCCTTTAGCATAACTGGCTAGTGCTAGGAGCCAAACCATAAACTTAACTTCTGATTTCCTCCTGATCGCTGGCTGTTAAGAAATGAAGTTTCAGGGCAGGCTTGTAACCTGGAGGTGCAGATTTGTTGGAAAATAACCTGGAAATTAGTGTTAGGTACCTGTCTGTTAATTAACTTGAGTTCAACCTTAGGTCACGTTCTCCAAGATGGAATCTGAACCCAAAAGATCTAGTCTCTCACTGGGCATGAGGATTGTTTGTATAATATATACATTACCTTTATGTTCCTCCTTCGGGAAATATTCTCCCTTCCAAGATTATCAGGGAATGTCCTCTCTGCCAAGGTTAATGACTACATGATAACCAGAGACAGCAAGACTCGAGGAGGCAAGAGTGTGTCTATGCCCTTAGCTAAATGGTAAATATCTTCAGGACAATCTCTAAGGCTGTGGGAAAGTACTCTGAAACCATGAGTTCAAAAATATATAGTTTCTCAACTATGCAAAATATAAGAATGCAATATGAATTGTATGAGGAGCTTCAGAGACTAGCTTCACTGTGAGCCAGCTTGTCAGAAAGATATTAAGGAAAGAAACAAAGAGATTTGGGGAGTGGTGATTGCAGGCCAAGATCCCACTCAGCTAAGATTATTGTTTATGCTTACAAAGGCAGGCAGATTTCTGAACTCATTTGCCATGGTTTTTTTTTTTTTTTGTTTGCTTGTTTGCTTGTTTGGTTGGTTGGTTGGTTTTTTGTTGTTGTTTTGTTTTTTAATTTACTTGCTGTCCTTTTTTAAAGAATCAAGTGGCTAAGGTCATAAAATTCTGATTCCTGGATATAATCAAAAGGGATCCTGGAGTAAACAACTGAATTGATATGTAAATAAAAGACTGGGCTTTGGTCTACAGGAGAGAGCTCCCCAGAGAGAACTGCTTGGAAAAAGAACACAGCTCTTTAAGCATTTTTTTCTAATAGGATTTCTGTTTTGCTCGGAAAACCCCAAATTTTTTTTCTAATAGCTTTTCTGACTTTGGTTGGGAAAATCCAAGAATTTTTTTCTAGCACTAGAGAACTGTCTCTAGCCGAGAGCGGTCTCCAGCAGACTACAGAGTCAAGTGCTATCTACAGAGCTGTCTGGAGAGCCATCTCTAGCAGAACACAAGGCTGTCAGCTTGTACTGCCCTCCCCCAGTTGACTTCAAGTAGTTTCTTTCACCACTCCCAAACACCCCTTTCTCAGGAGCCCAAGCCAAGCCAAGGCTGGTCCTTGGCTCTCCAACATAATGTATTGTCTCAAACCATGAACCCAAACAAACCATTCCCACCTTAAGTTGCTTTTCTAGGGTTTGTAGTCACAGCCGTGAGGAAAGTAACCAATACATTGAGTGTTATAGAATTTACATCATCTGTATCATTTGTTGTGCTGGCCAGTTTTATGTCAACTCAACACAAAACAGAGCTATCTGGGAAGAAGGAACCTCAACTTTTAAAATGCAACCACCAGATTGGCCTGCAGGGAAAACCTATGGGCCATTTTCTTGATTGACGACTGATGTGGGAGGGCCCAAGTCACTGTGGGTGGTACCAACCCAGGCTGGTGGTCCTGAGTGTTCTAATAAAGCAGGCTGAGACAGCCATTAGAAGCAAGCCAGTAAGCAGCACTCCTCCATAACCTCTCCTTCAGCTTTGCCTCCAGGTTCCTGCCTTGTGCTCCTGCCCAGGCTTTCCTCAGTGATGGAGTGTAACAAATGAGTTGTAAATTTAAATAAACACCCACTCATCCACCCCAGGTTGCTTTTTCCCTTAGAGTTTTTCACAACAATAGAAATCCTAACTAGATATTTTGTCTTGTGGAAATAAGATTGCTTTTTATTTACCTAACTGAAAACTTTCCGCAGTAAAAAGTAAACAAACAAACAAAAAACGAAGTATGCTCTAATGGAGTTTTTGTTTGTTTGCTTGTTTGTTTTGGACAGGAATGTCACCCTACATCATCAGAATGTGCTTGAGGTATTCTTTCTTTCTTTCTTTCTTTCTTTCTTTCTTTCTTTCTTTCTTTCTTTCTTTCTTTCTTTCTTTTTTTTTAACGTTCTTTCATCACCAAAGATATTTTATTGAAGTTCCCAACACAAATGAGTTATTTTGGTTTTGAATTACAGAATTAAGTCCAAACTGAAAACAAACAGCTTCTGGTTTTTTTGTTTTTTGTTTTCTTGTTTTTTCCAGACAGGGTTTCTCTGTGTAAAAGAGCCCTGGGTGTCTTGGAATTGCTCTGCAGACCAGGTTGGCCTTGAACTCACAGAGATCCACTTGTTTCTGTCTCCTGAGTGCTGGGATTAAAGGGGTGCACCACCATGCCTGGCTCCCTTCCCAGTCTTTTTTTTTTTTTTAAAGATTTATTTATTTATTATATATGAATACACTGTAGCTGTCTTCAGACACACCAGAAGAGGGCATCAGATCTCATTACAGATGGTTGTGAGCCACCATGTGGTTGCTGGGATTTGAACTCAGGACCTCTGGAAGTGCAGTCAGTGCTCTTAACCACTGAGCCATCTCTCCAGCCCCTTCCCAGTCTTTTAAGGGTCTACCATGCCAGGCCCTTGGTGGCCTTTGCTTTGCTTTTCCCCCGTTTCTTTTCTCTCTTGACCTTCAGTCTTTTTCTTTGCCTTTGGTTCATCCACACTGGGTACTGGCCATGCTGGTCTAGAAGAGTCTTTCTGTTTCTCTTAATTTCAGTTTCCATTTTCATGTCATCCTTTTCGTCACCCCTGTCACACTGCACTTTCTCACACTCCATCCTCTCCTGGCAATGTTTGGGTGCTACCACAGTGGCTATCTCTTCAACATCTTTCATCAGAGCATCACCGTCAACTCGGAGAATGCTTTTAAGCCTGTTGAGCTCCCTGGGTGCATTCTTCTTCCTCTTCTCAGAAGAGGAACCTTCCTTTTCCACTTACTCCACAAGCTTTTGGCCATGCTTCACCTGAGAAACACAATCGTACCGAGGTATTCTTACCATACTCTCTATCCTCATAAATATATATGGAGTCTCCTTCTCGAACTCTGTAACGTTGTGTGCTTAGTATGAAAACTGGAGGGCTGACTCAGACTCTAGAACCTTAGCCAATTAGATGCAAACACAAATGCTCCAAGTTAGAACTTCTTCAGAAATCCAGACACAGAGTTTCAGTTTTGAAGGACATTTCGTCAGTCCCTGTGGGAAACATTTATTAGCACCTATACACAAGGCACAATAGGGGAGCTAAAACCTCAGGAATCTAACTAAACATGAAAGATTCAGGTTGACGCACAAATAGTCAAGAAGGTACACTCCAAAATCTGGAATCATCCATTCAGGAGAAAAATATGGTGGCCAACGGTGACTGTTCTGGAAGTCCCTGTAAATCCAAAGAGTGGGAACACTTCGGTGTTATCTCATGCAGAGAACACTCCCCTGTCCTCTATTAGTAAGTTCCATGACAGTTACTTTGCAAACAGAAAAGATGATCCACCTTAGCCAGACTATAACATCTAACACTGGACAGTGTGCACTGGCAATACCCTCTCTTCTGCAGTTAGTAAGGTCTCCGGGTGTCTTCAGCTCACTGGCAAGTATGCACCAACCCCAGCAGGTGTGCTATAGATCACTGTGAGACAATTCTTTTCCCCACATGGCTTCTCTGATGTTGAACAAGGTATGAAGTTCGGGTAAAGCCTTTCCCACATGCATCACACTGGTGGGGTTTCTCACCGGTGTGGATTTTTTTATGTTCAAGAAGGCTTCTACTCCGAGTGAAAGTTCTCTCACACTCATTACACTGATAAGTCTCAGGAGTTTCAACGTCATCCCCCTGGCTTGCCCCCCTACTCTGACCTTCCCAGGCCTTCCCATAAAGAGGCTTTGGAGCAGTTCTATCACCATGGATCCGTTGATGCCTCAGGAGATGTGAGCTACGCCTAAAGGCTTTTCCACACAGGTTGCACTGGAATGGCTTCTCACTGGTGTGAATTTTGTGATGTTCAAGGAGGCTGCTGCTCTGAGTGAAGGTTTTTCCACAGTCATCACACTCGTAGGGCTTTTCCCCAGTGTGGGTTCTCTGGTGCTTGATGAGGTTTGAGCTGTGACTGAAGACTTTGCCACAATCTTCACACTCGTATGGCTTCTCACCAGTGTGAACTCTCTGATGAATGACAAGGGCAGAGCTCCCAATAAAGGTCTTCCCACAGTCTTCACATTCGTAGGGTTTCTCTCCAGTGTGGATTCTTTTGTGTTTACTTAGGCCTGAACTCTGAGCAAAGCTCTTTCCACATTCATGGCAATAGAACCGCCTGTTTCCCATGGCATTCTTCTGTGCTGTCTGTAACTTGCCTTCCTGCTCACTGGCTTCTGCACCTGTAGGAATTTGGACAGTGTCTTCACCCAGGAAGCACACTGTCTGCTCAGGCTTTTGTTCCATGTATTCCTCAGCTGGAGGCAAGTCCCTGGTCTCAGGCTTCATTTCCAGACCTGAAACACAATTGTCAGCAAATGTTAATTATGTTTTGCAAGGGAGAAAGCTTTGAGAAACCCTACAAGGAGACAAATGTTACAGAGCTCTCTGTATCCCAAGGACAAATACTTAAATGCAGGCTTAAGTGCAGGAATAAGTACGGGAACAACAGCGATGCTGGTGAGGAAAGAAACCTGATGGGAATCAGGATTAAATGGAAAAACAGGAAGTTGGAGAAAAGTGAGGACTAAGATCATGATCCACAATGGCCAATCAGTCAACACAAAAATTCCTTAAAACCATTTAATAAAACATGAAAAGTTTAGTTTTTTTGTACCTTATAAGTCCTTTTCACTCTCTAGAATAGTAGGCTCTAAAAATATTTTCTGTATGCCTCTTTTCTCTAGAGAGGCTTTAGGCAGAAGCCTAAAGAAAGGAGGCGCTGTGATGAGTGCATGGTCCCTAAGAATAGGAAGGCTGAGATGTTTGACAAAAGCAACACAAACAGCAAGTAAACGTATTTCTGAAACTTGTTATAGGAAACTAAGGAAGTAAGGACTCCCAGAGATCCATGGCCAGTTAGTGTTATGCATTGACCCCTGCTATTCTTATTCCAGGCACAGATGGTGTTCCCAACAATCACTGACAAGGGGGTTCTACATTGGAGGTGCCATCAAGAATTCTGGGGCTTCTGAAAAGCCCCATTACCCACTGTGACTTGTCACTCGCCTCTAAGGTCAGGGACTATAGTCAGCATCTAAGCTCACTTCTAACTCCCAGACTGTGCTTCCTGAAGTGTCCCCCCCGCCTCCCTTCCCTGCAAGGGTATAGAAGGGAAAGGGGACATTTATGTGAACAAGGATTGAATCTGCTTCATCTCACTTAAACTGACCAGAACACTGGCAAGGTAGAAAAAAAAGCGATGGTCAGAGGGTTTTAGAGTTAAACAATGGTTCACTAACAGGACTCCAACATGGTAATTCTGAAACCAGGCACGCAGCAAACTGCTTCTGTGAGTCAAATAGCTTCTAACACACAAAGGAAAAGACTTGGGGAGCAGATAGTGCCTGTCAGGTTCTTCTAAGGAAACTAGGATCCCAGAGCTCTCTGCCTTTCATCTCTATAGATTCCTCTGAGACGAATCTGCTCCTTCCACCCAGGTGAAAGGGTCAGCAGCCCCTAAAACAGATGATCCCACGAGGACCTCCGCTCATACTCTCAAACTGAGGTACATGCAAAGGCACACGAAAACTGTTTAAAGGAACTCTTAAGGGGGGCAGGGGTAAAGTGTCTTAAGACATACCTCCACGTACAAAAACTCTAACGTGGCACAGTGGTACATGCCTGTAATTCAAGCACTTGAGAGTCTAAACAATGAAGCTCTCAGTTCATGTCCAGCCTGGGCTATACTGAGAGACTTTGTCTCAAAAACAGTCAAAAGTAATAAATATGACACGCATTAATGTAAGGGCTTTCATGTGAAGATGCAAATAGTAAAAACAACTACATGCATGAGAGTAAGTACTTTCGCATGATATATAAACAGTCCAGGACATGAAAAGGCTTAAAAAATCAGTTTCCAAACTTCCAAAGATATATGCTTTGCATTGTCAAACTCAAAGTGAGGGCTCATTGAATTAGATTTTTTTTTTTAATAAAATAAAACTTGGGTCTTGGGTGAGAAAAAAATCAGGAGAAAAGGTAAAGAATATTATTACCACAGCAAACACTGATGACTTCAAGCAAGAAATGAAAGACTGAATCAATATGAAAATCCAGGTTATATTATCATCACATTAATACCTCAAAATGACAGGCTGTATCTGTCCCCTTAAACTATAAGTCTTTGAGGGCAGAAGCCTGGTGTTTATGCCCTTCACTGAGAGTACATGTTATTATAATTTAAGACAACAAAATAAGGGTTTAGTGGTGGCTTGGTGGCAGACTGCTTGCCTAGCATGGATGAAGCCCTCAGCGGGAACCCTAACATTGCCCAAAACAAACAAACAAAACACCTAAACTAACATTACAAAAAAAAAATTAACTTTAATTTGCATTTCCTGAATTGTACTTCAAAAAACAAACAAACAAACAAAACCATCAATAAAGGGCCTGAGCAAAGCAGTGGGTTAGAAGGGGTCTGAGAACACAGAGAATCCTCCAAGGCAGCCAGAGAACAGAAAGGGCCTCCTAAGTGAGCCCCAAATGAAGAAAGGGCCTCCTAAGTGAGCCCCAAATGAAGAAAGGGCCTCCTAAGTGAGCCCCAAATGAAGAAAGGGCCTCCTAAGTGAGCCCCAAATGAAGAAAGGGCCTCCTAAGTGAACCCCAAATGAAGACTGCTGCTGCTAGGAAATGATTAGAAACTCTGAGTCTGATGTAAAATTAGGAAGACGGTGGGGAACTGTAGAGAAAAGTACTGTGTTAGCCACCACTCTACTGCTGTTCTATTGCTCTCTTAGCATGTGCAAGGCACTGAACCGGATCCCTCCCTCCCTCCCTCCCTCTCTTCCCCTCCCTCCTTCCCTCCTCCCCTGTATCCATCCCTCCCTTGCCCCTTACCCTCTCTCACACACACTCACAGAAACATACTCACTCATAAACATATGCTTACCTCTGGCTTTTAAGGGTGAACACTCCAGAGATTCCCGAGATTCATGCTTGAAGAGAGACTTCACTGCCTGGGAGCGGCTACTTTGTGAGTCCTGGGATGGTGTCACCAATGCCACCTTGCAGCAGAGAAGTTCTCGACTCCATTCCCCAGTTGGGACCTAAAAGCCATTCATTTACTTTTATTTGTTCAATCACACATTCCCATCACACTTTGACCGAGGGCTCTATATTATCAGGCATTGACTCTAAGAGCTTCAAGAAAATATTAACTCATGGAAATACAGAGAGCCCCGTGAGCTTTGGAATTGTTTAGAATTTTGTAACTGGAAACTGAGGCCCAGTTTAAGCAGCTTGCCCTTGTCATGTAGCTCATAAGAAGCAATACTGCAAGGGGAGGTCTGGCAGACCAGCTGTGGAGCCTGTGGATTAACTACGGCTTTGCTTCCTTGTTCTGTCCCTCTATCATTACGAAGCGAATGGGAAAATCTATAAAAATGTCAGCATTTCTCTAAAAAATAAGCATAATAATTTCCACCTAATGGTTTTTTTTTTAAAGAAACTAACAAATCCAATTGCAGTATGTGAAATCAAGTAACAGAGAACATGACAGTGTATCCACCTTAAAGTCTAGCTCCCTTGCAGATACTGATAGTAAACTGATGCTCAGAGGTTCCTGTTACAGAGCTCAGGACACCAACTCCAAGTCTCGAACCTTGGTCCCTGGTCACTAGCTAGAAAGCTCTAGCCATGTATCTTCTGACACAAGGACATTGGGGACTGCAGAGGAGAAATCTCCTAAAACAGGCAAAATGTGTTTACACATGTCAGTTCGTGTCGCCCTCAACCATAGCCAAAGATGCTTGTCTATGCAGTAAATGGCAGATAATTCAGATATTCATAACTGGTCAAAGAGCTAGGAAGAAGTGACTATGGGGTGCTCATGCTCAAACAGGACATCTACGTCAACCCCTGGCTCCCAGGGCTCAGTGAGCCTCATGGAAGACAGGGCAGGAAAACCATAAGAACTGAGGGATAGAGATGGGTAACGCACAAAGCTACCTTCTGGGAAAGACATGGCTACTGACTCACAAACTCACTGATACTCTGGTTACTGCACAGATCAAGACGACACGATCAGTCAATGGTTCAGCAAGTGGCACTCATGGAACTTAATAGGTTAATAGGCTAAAAGCAGGTGGGGTGTATGAAGGAGAGAAGGGGACATGTGGTGGCCAAGAGAAATTGGAGCCGGGTTGTTGGTGAATATGATGGAGACGCATTGTGGACGTGTATGAAATTTCAAAAAGGGTTTCATTTTGCTTTGTTTTAGGTCAGAAGATGGAAGTCAAAACCACTCTGCTTTCTACCAAATTCTGAAACAACATATACAAGAATTTTGATAGAAAAAAAAAAAAACTCTTAGGTTCTAGGCTCTATGAAAACACTAGAATTCCCCTCCACTGTCAGTGGGAGAACTACAAGGGTGTGTGTGTGTGTGTGTGTGTGTGTGTGTGTGTGTGTGGCATAAGTACCACAGTACTGCCAGCAAGCCACTGCAGATGGTGTTACATGTGACAAGCCAAGAAAACACCTAAAGTCGTTTGTGCCTATTGTCACTGTGCTCAAACCCGTCCTTGTATCTTACTCAACACAGAGTAAGAAGAACATATATAACCTTTCTCCACTCTGCTCTACACGTTCTACCCCAGCTTCACTAGGTCTGAGTTCTTCCACAATCCTTTTCTTTTCCTTTATGCGATTCACTATTCTGAGGAGCCCAGGTCAATTCGCTGGTTGCCTCAGGTTCCCAGCACAGACTGAGACTTTGCAGGCTCTAAGCAATGCCTCCCTTGGATCTTGCTTGAGGTTTCTGAAAGGCACAGGGCATGGGTCTAAACCTGTTCCTTCTACCTGTGGAGGTGTCTCATCCAGCTGCCTGTCCAAGTACTCCAGCAGTGCCACCACCTCCTCCCCGCTGTCGGGGTGCTGCTCGCGCACCCAGGCCTGCAGTTCCCCTGGCAGGATGGTCAGGAACTGCTCCAGCACCAGCAGCTCCAGGATCTGCTCCTTGCTGTGCATGTCTGGCCGCAGCCACTGTCTGCAGAGCTCGCGGAGCCGGCTCAGCGCCTGGCGGGGCCCGGCTGCCTCTGGGTAGCGGAAAGCACGGAAGCGCTGGCGGGAGCTGTCAGGCCCAGGACTGCCCAGCCAACTGACCTCCTCTGCCAAGGGGGAAGTCTCTTCCTGTTCCACTTTCACCACTAGAAGCCCAGTTCCCTCTTCTGCAGATCGAGCGTTTAGGGCTGCGCTCGCTCCGGGTTCTCTAGCCATTCTGTGCCAACTGGAGGCTCACGCTTAGCTGCAGGCTAGCTCTGCAGAAGATTCTCGCAAGATGGGAATTCAGAATGGATCTGTCTCCTCCCTCCCCTTGTGTTCCGGGACGCCCAAAGGCACAACTGCAGAGGTGTCACCTACAACCCTGGCCTTTACGGAGTTCTCTTCTGCACTCCACAATAAATATCCTCAAGGGATGCTACGGGCAAATAAACTACATCCAAACTCTGGTGGAACACAGGAAGCATTGTGGGAACCCAAGCCACTTCCTGTGCCCTCTAGGATGCTCTTCTCTGTGGTTCTTTCCAAATTAACCCATTATTGTTGGGGAGAGAATTGTAGACCCTGAGTCACACAAGAGTATATGTTTAAGCACAGGAAGTAAGTTACCCGGGGTCTTTGGTTCTTTCTGATATAAAGCTTGCCTTCATAGTTGTCACAATGCTGACAGGAAAATTCAGTTGGCAAGTAGACTTTGCAGAATGGGAAATGCTGGTAGAAAAAGACAAGAAAATTGGTACATCTCATCTCAGAAACCATGAAAGAAGCAAGACATTCACTTGTCTACAGGGGCCTGTCTGTCCCAGGTTCTGTTCTCTTCCTGCTGCTCCCTTTTCTCCCTCTCCAGCCAAACTATTTGAGAGAAAAATTCTCCAGATGTGGACTCTAGATCCTACTTCCCACCACTTCTTAAGACACTATAGGCAGTAAAGAGCCAGTATAGCCACTACTACAGCACCTACCCAAATAACTAGAGATTCCTACCTCTTCTGCAAAAAAAAGTTTATGCATTGCAAGCATCTAAGCTGCCTCTATGCACTTCCAGAAACTTTCTAGTCCCCAGCCTCATGAATATCCCATTCCAGCTTCATTTCTTCCTGTTTCTCCACAGCCCTGGCTGACACACTAACACAGAGGTTAGATGAAGACACTCCCAAAGCTGAGAAAGGTGAACTGCCATCGACTAAAAGAAACCCAATAGACAGATCTGTGAGGTGCCATGACAAACTTTACTGTGACCATGACTAGAAGCAAACAACTGTTGTGTTCTGTGAGGTGGTGCAAGCTTCCTCCATCTTATATTCTTGCTGAGGCTGTTTCCAGGTTTAACTGGAATCTGATCTTGTAGTATCCCATGGAAAACTATTCTAGGAACTGAAGATCAGAATGTCCTAGTTAAGTTACCTAAGCTTTGTTGAAATTGCTTATTTGTGCAGGAAACCCCTCCAGCTAAGCCTTTATCTTGTAGAGTGAAAAATTATAGATACTGGGTATATAGAATCCTTTTTAGACATATAAAATATTCTTTAGGCTTTCTTTATAAAGACATGGAGAAACCGAGCCATGAAGCAAGTTAGGAATGTGGAAAGACCAGTCACCATTACTGGAACTGGCCGACCCGCAAAGAGAAAGGAAAGAATGCAAGTGAACTACGTGGAAACAAGCTGGGAACCAAGCTGAGAACCAAGCTGGTAACCGCAGTGACAAGGCAAGGCCACAGTGACAGGGCAGGACTACATTCTTGAGAAAGATAAGCGTACAGAGAGTTTTCACCTGACCCTGACTCATGTAGGTTGGGTTCCTTTGGAATGTTCCACTATTTTTATGTTATACCACCCTAGCAACCCCCTCACCCCCTCCTCATTCCTTGGTTTGTGGTTTTTCCCTTTAAAAACACCTCTCAAACTGGCTGTCGGGGTCAATTCAGCTCCTGCGTGGGCATACGAATTGACCGGCAGCTAGTTGTCACGCCCTAATAAACCTCGCAATTGCTCTGGTACACGGTGTCTCGAGCAGATTACTGGGTGGTCGCGACTTTCTGAGACTTGAGAGAGGGTCTCCCCTCTGCGGAGGTCTTCAATCTCAGCTGCCTGTTTGTGTGGAATCTCTCTGCAGCTGGCTAACTGCCTGTCTTAACTTCTCTTAAAACTTGCTTGCTTTGAACTGCTTGCTCTGTGAAGTCTCCACTACAGCTACTGAGGGAGATGCCTTGATGAAGTCTCTGCACTCAAAAACCTTGTGTTCTGGACACTGGGGGCCACGAACCTCGACATGAACCTCAACACTTGGGTGTGGTCCCAGTTGTCTGGAATAAAGACTTTGATTGTATATACACTATGCCTGAGTGATGAACTCTTGTAAGCTTCCCGAAACACTGTAAAAAGATACAGTTGAGACATTGGGGAAAACTAGAACTCAGGAATACTAAGAAATTATTGGGAACTTAATTGTTAAAGTGGTACTATCATTTTTATAAGATTTATTTTTATTAATGTGTTTGTGTGAATGCCGTATGTGTGCTACTGCAGCAGAAACCAGACAAGGACATCAGGTCCCCCGGACCTAGAGCTGCAGGCAGTTGTGACTTGAACTCAGGTCCTGTCATAGTTAGAGTTTCTATTACTGTGATAAACACCATGACCAAAAGCAATCTGAGAAGGACAGAGGTTATTTGCCGCATAAGATCCAATCACAGACCGTTATGAAGTCAGGGCAGGAACTGATACAGAATCCTTAGAGGAATGTCACTCATTGGCTTGTTCTCCTAGTTTATTTGGATTGGTTTCATATACGTCCCAGGACTGCCTGTCAGAGATAGCGTCATCCACAGTCAGGATTCTTTCACATCAATCATCAAGAAAATAGCACACAGACTTGTCTACAAGCCATCTAATGGGGGCATATTTTCAGCTGAGCTTTACTCTTCTTAGATGACTCTAGTTTTGTCAAGTTGTCAAAAAAAAAAAGAAAAAAGAAAAACTAACATACACAAGTCCTCCATAAGAACAGCAAATGCTCTTAACTGCTGAGACACCTCTCCTGTCTCCCTGTCAGTTTTTGAACTTATTCATTAGAACTTTACATTGAAATTCTTGTACGGATGGATGAGCCAATACAGTATCTGAGATTTGCTAAAGCAAACTTAAGGGAAAAAAAGAAGGAAACAAATAAAATAATGCAACCATGGTAATTGTTGAAGCTGGGTGAGAGGCATATGAGGATCCATTGTAATGTTCGTTGTACAGTTACAAAAAAAAAACCATTTCCATAGCAATTTTCTTTTTAATTAAGCAAGATCCTACCTTATTTCATTGGTGAGTAATTCAGTCCAAAAACTACTAAGTAGAGCTAGAAAGAGTTGGGAAAGGAAATGGCAGCTCAGCCCAGAGTGAACCCCATTCTGGTTTAAGCTGTTGTGATAGTTTTTAATTTTGTCAATTTGAGTTGATTCAGAAAAACTTAAGAGATTAATAAAACATACACCATCTATACTGTGGTCACAAAGGCTATAACCCCGTAAACCCGATACTGTCTTGATGGATTCATTATAGGATGATATAACCAGGGTGAAGAAGAAGAAGAGGCAGAGCCTAACTGGAGGAAGTAGGTCTTTGATGCTTTGCCCTTAGGTTCTATGGCTTTTTCTGTCTCCTTCATGTATTCCCTTTCTTTGCTTCCAAGTAATCTAAACTGTGCAGAGCGCCTGCCTCCTCTGACAGTCACCATTTCTTTCCTGCTACAATGAACTTAAATCCACCTAAAACCATGAGCCAAAATAAATCCTTCCAATTTGTTTTTATCAGGAATATTGTCACAGTATCACACAATTAACTAATCTACAAGAGGTATTAGATACCTTCTCATAGCTCTGATAAATACCTGACAAGAAGCAACTTAAGAAAGACACATCTAGACTCTCAGTTTGAGGGACCAGCTAGAGCTCCACCCCTTTTCCCCCTGGCTCTGGGATAGATCCAACCTGCAGGCAGTGAGCTTGTACTCTTCCTCCTGGAGACCTGACTTAGATTACCAGTACCCACATCAGGCAGTCATAACCACCTGTAAATCCAGCTTTAAAGAATCCAACACCCCTGACTTCCACAGGCATCTGTATGGAAGTATTTACACAAAACTACACAAACACACACAAAGACACGTAATTTAAAAATAAAATCTTTCTAAAGAAGATTCTGTGTTTTTGCCTACCCCTTAAAGGAAATCATCTATTACAATGAGAATTTATTGGTTCCCATCTGTTGAATGTAATTTTAAAATCACACTACTGCCTTTCCTGGGAGCTCAGTCCACGCTCTGACCTCTCCTGGTTCTCTTTGCAACGTCCAGCTTAGCTCAGGATGGATCACAATTATCTCCCAACATAGGAAAGCCAGAAGCTGCTGTCTTGGCTCCATAGGTTCCCTCTTGCCTTCTCTTTTGTTGCTCCTGGCTAGCTTCACCAAACCGCCAACTACCGCCCTGGCTTCTCTCTTTCTCTGCCTGCTTTTGCTCTGCAGATGAAAAACACTTAGACAGCTTTACTTTTTTTTAGAACTTGCCAGATAATACAATTGTTGAACACAGAATCTCTTGTCCTAACCTTATCAGCTACCCTATATCAGCCAGCCTCTGCTAGTGGTGGAGGCCTCTGGTTCTAGTTTCCCCAAGATCTTACATGGTTATATCGTGCTTCTCCTTTCAAAACCTGGCCAAAAAAGCACCTTCTCTTTCCTCAAGTCTCTCTTTCTTCCTAGGACTCAGAAGTCCAATCTGTACCCCTTGCCAAGCAATTTGCTCCCACCTTCTCTCTTCTTTTTAAGTTAGCTGTCTACTTGTTTTCTTTTATTTTTTTATTGAATATTTTTTATTTACATTTCAGATGTTATCCCCTTATACCATTTCCCCCCTCCCAGGAACCCCCTGTTCTATCCCCCCTCCTCCTGCTTCTATGAGGATGTGCCCCCCCACTCCCATCTCCACACCCTCGAATTCCCCCACACTTGGCATCCAGCCTTCATGGAACCAAGGACCTCCTCTCCCACATATGCCTGATAAGGCTATCCTCCCCTACATATACAGCTGGAGCCATGGGTCTCTCCCTATGTGCTCCCAGGCTGGGCTCCCACCTTCTTTATAGACCAAATCAAAAACCAACTAAGAAACCAGACCTTACTATCAGCACCTCCCCCTACAATTTACAAAAGACGTTAAAATGGGGGACAGGCGAGGAGGAGCATAACAAAAGCTGGTTATCAAAACTCTAAGAACAATGTGTCCATTTCAGAAAGGAAAAAAAGAAAAATAGTTACAGTTGAAGCACTTGGGAAGTAGAAGTAGAAAAATCAGGAGTTCAAACTCATCCATGTTTCATTCCAGCCTGGGCTACATGAATCTCTGCTTCAAACAAAACAACACAAGACAAATTCCCTTGGACAATCTTCAGTCTCATCCAATACGTTAGGTAAGATGTTATTAACCCCA